ATTTCCGAGTTTATGAAATTAATTTAATAAAATATATCAACAAGTTTTTGAAAAAAATAAGAAAATTTACTATTCTCAACTAACTTTAACATGCCATTTATAATATTCTACAGCTTCCGAAAAGTACCCGGACTGTCAACATAACAGCTACTGGCACTGGGTTCGCCATAGTCAAAGTGTCATACAGGTACAACGTTAATGTCACTGGGGCTTGGCCACTATTCACACTTGACCCACAAGTGGATAAGAATTCTGATATTAATCATATGCAACTGTCTATTTGTTCTGGGTAATGTTTTTACAATTTGTTTTTGTATTAAATCATGAATAAAACAATTTTTTTTTAAAAAAAATATTTCTAGGTTCCGTGGAGGCAACAGTAGTAACATGGTCGTGATGGAAGTGACACTGCCCTCTGGTTACACCATCAACAATGACGCATTGCCCAGTCTCCGGCTATCCAACAATGTCAAACGTGTAGAGACTAAAGATGGTGATTCTGTCGTCATGTTGTATTTCGATAAGGTATATTATAAATACTTTTAATAGATACTCAGGAAATTCTGCATAGCAAAATATAGTGAAAATATAAAATCTGTCTGTCAGACTTTAATGCTTTTGAGAATAAGAATGTATATTGTAGCTTTTAAGTTGAAATTAGAGCTTATACACAAATATCTAAATTCATATTTTTGAGGGCTGTTATTTGTTTTTTCTAAAAAAAAAATTGTCATACAAAAAAGTTAAAGCTATGTTAGCTTTTTACAAATAGCTTTTTGTTATTTGTGATGAAACTTCAATTTCCATCTAAACTACAAAATACATGGTCAATATACCATAATAAATTTTGCTATGTTGTGTGTTATAACATAGGTATAACACTGGTAGGTATGACTTTTACTTAATAAATTGTAGATGTACCCACACCACACATAATATTTATACTAAATTTATTTTTGCAATAATTACTACTGTAATGTAGCTTTCTATTATAGTACACTAATTTTTCTAAATTATAAATGCACATCAAGAGTAGTTTATTCGATTTACTTATCTTTTATCAGATGAGTACAAATGACATACAATAAATTATTGTCAGTTGATCTTTAATCATTCGATATTATTAATATTTCAATTCGTTCATTTGTATGAAATAATCATTGTATTAATATTAATAGGGAAATAAAACTTATGGTCAGTATAACACATTATGTATGATGGACACAACTAGCAGCAAAATAATAACAGAATGAAAAGAAAAAAATAGTGGATTTTTTTCAAACTTTTTCAATTTATTTTATGTATTATATATTATGATGTTGTATTATAATGACACTTATGAATTTATCCTCAGATGACAGCAGAAGAATACTGTCCAACCATATCAGCATACCGGACCCATAAGGTGGCCAAACAAAAGCCAGTCCCAGTCACCGTTTATGATTACTATGACCAGTGTAAGTTTTATTATGATTAATCATAATATTTATGATGCATTATTATGACATTTTATTACATAGTTCTCTGTAATATAATCTTTTTAGAAAATTATACAAAAAAGGGGGAAATATATTTCAATAATATTATTTTAGATATTTTGTTGGTTTTTATTATTGATAAAAATATTTGTGATACCTGACATTTTTATTTTACAAAATATACTTGTATTAGCTAATTTATGAAACACACTTCATATTTTGTTTATTTTGAAACTTAACCCCTGATTTTATTTTTATGTTCTTACAGCAAGACGTGCCAGAGTTTTCTATGAACCTAGAGTGGCGACCCCATGTGACATTTGCGAAGACTCCGAGGATTGTAGTAAAGTTTGTGCTACTGGCATTGGGTCCAGGTCTGAAGAGGATGGTAACTCATCAGGTGGAGCCTCTGGGTCATTATTCCAAGGAGGTGTACAGCTGTTCATTGGTTCTATGGCTACTGTGCTAATCATTAATAATTATTATAATTGATTTTCAATATATTGTCCAATTTTATATTTATAATAATGTACATTAATTTTAAATTTATTATTATTTAACTGCAGATCTGATTATGTATACAAAAATAGGTACCTAATACTGAACAACCAAAAAAAAAAAAAAAACCAAAAATGAAACTTTATTATTAATTATTTATTTTTTATTTTTTTGTAAATCTGGAGAAGACTAAAATCGGCATCCTACCTACCTAACAATAATTATTATTAACGCTCCTATTTTGTTCACACATTATTATTAATTGTTATTATTCACTCAACACAAAATATTTGTTTTATTAACTTATTTCAATAGTTACTATTACTCAATGTATTTTGAACACAATATTTTTTTTTATCGACTAGTTATTAGAACAAACCTTAAAAACAGATCAAATAGCCTTATTATACTATTGTATTAAAATATTAATTACATGCAAATCTAATCAAATTCTTACAAAAAAGTAAAAACATTATGCCTGTTGTAATTAACAAGTATTATTAATTTTTAATTTTATTATTATATTTATATACATACACACCTATGTCCTATATATATATATAATTTCTTTAATTTTTATTATATATCACTACTCTATATCGATATTATAATATTACTATTATAATTATTGTTTTAAAAGAAATACTTGTATTATATACTTCGCACATTTTTACACAATAATAATATCGAATCTAATCAAGTTATAACTAATCAATTGATGTAAACTAACATCGCATATTATTTTAAAACTGTGCCAACCACACAATGTCTGGCAGTTTGAAAACCAAAACCCCACAGCAAAGATTATAGAATTTGTTTCATCTCTTCCTCCCTATTAATAAACAAAGACTGAAATTTTATTGCAGATATTATGTTGTAAATACCATCAAAATATTATTATTTTTATATATATATACATATATATATATATTTTTTAATATTATTCAACTTATTATATCAACTTTAATAATCACGTAGGGGCAATTATTATTAATATATGACAATAAATTGTTGTTTGTAAATAATTATTATACTTACATTGATGTGGTACTTATAAACATATATTTATACGTATATTTTATTAATATATTTTATTCTATAGTAAATTAATATTGTTGTTTTCCTATACCTTTATAACCTATACCAGGGGTCGGCAACCTGCGGCTCGCGAGCCACATGCGGCTCTTTCGGTCTAAAGTTGCGGTTCTCCAGCTGCACACACAAAAATTAATATTTTAGTTCAAAAACAATATTTTATAATATAAAAAAAAAAGTATATTACTTTTGTTGCTTTTGGAAATATGAAATAACACATCACAAAAATAATTTGACAGTGCCCGCATGGAATACAGTCTATAGTTGTAAAATGTTTATTATAGAGTTTAATATAATCGCGACTAATTGGTCACGCCAAGACATAAAAAGCCAATGCTCCCATTGATGTATTCCCCTATTATTAAAAACTGTTTTTTTTTTTTTTTTTTATCATAAATTTATTATATTATTATAATTAATTTCATTATTATTATGTCTATTAAAATTTAAAAATAAAATTATATTTAAATACTTAAGAAAAATTTTAGTGGCTCTTTAAAATCTGGAAAATTTTGTACATTGTAACTTTTGGCTCTTCTGTCAAAAAAGGTTGCCTGACCTATACCATAATTTTCAAAAATTTGAAATCGAATATTATGATAAAAACATCATTGATCTCAGGGATGAAGTGCTTAAGTGAATTTTATCGGTATGGTTTTCAATACAAGTAAACTTAATTTAGAAAATACATATACTTATGCCATTTGGACCCATTGTATTATGAGTCCTATTGTATTTTGTGTACCTATATCTTAATATTTACTAATATGAGTTTGTATGTAATAACACTCATATTTAAAATATAAGGTTATAAGGAGTTCTAAACTTGTACTTAGATAGCTAAAATGACACATTGGTTTTATTTGTGTTGTTAATTTCTGGATTGACTTTATACTTTTATACTATTGTACACTATTATACACTTATATTCAGAATAGTTGTTTAACTGCTATTATTATAGTATATAAACTAAATTACTCCATATCCTATACCCTCCAAACTTCACACATACAAAAGTGGCATAGCTTTGTGAGAAGTATGTCTTGGTATTTTATTTTATTTTTTAATTAACATACTTAATTTATAATTGTTAGTTTGGTACACTATTAAATTGCATAAGGTATGCAGCGGTTATTTATTTTCACAAATAATGAAAAGAAAAACGTATCGTATAGATGAATATTGTTCATGGTCGTGATTCAATTAAAATTTAATTAATTTTTATTTTATATATTTGACGTGCATTATTAATAATTCCGACCGCGTCTACTGCAGTTTGTTATTTCTGAAATAAATAATAACGTTTTGTAATGGACTACACTAACGATTGCAAACATGCACGTTTCGCATCAGTTGTATTCATATGATTTCATATGATGGCACACCGAAAGGGGGCGGAGGTGGGTGTAGAGAAACCCCAGAGGGGGTTTGAGTTTCCAACTAATCCGAAATTATTTTCATTAAAACGGAGTGTAAATATTATTTGTATAGGTATACGCTCATGTTAGGTATATCGAAATATCTAGAAAAATATCTACGAATGTGTACGAAAGGGTGGTTCGTACTCGAAAACCAAAAGTATATACTTATAAAGGTAATGACGTAGGCAAAAAAATTAAAAATAGTTTTACAATAAAGGTTATCTGATTCAACAATAATTAAAAAAAAAAAAAATTAAAAAAAAAAATACAAAAATCAAATTCACTTAAAATCCTTCGAAAAACTTGCTGGTTCATGATAAAAAAAAAAAAAATCTTTTTTTTATATTATATAGTCAATAATATCTATTTTAGAGAGAAAATTAACAAAAATAAAAAAAATTGGTGTCCCGACTAGCCCGACTAGATATATGCATGAAATTACAATCATTATGCTCGAATTAATCTATTTTGTATTTACCACAGTTGAAGTGTACGAGGTTTTCGGGGGTTATTTTTTCTTGCTCTGCCGTAACGAGTTCACTAACTCATTGTACTGGACCCGGTTGGTTTCGGCTTCTTCTTTCAACTTGCTCAAATCCTTGACTAGACGTTCGTTTTCCTCGATCAATTTGTAGAGCGCGGGTTTCTTCATTTGGGACGCTGACACGCGCCTCGTCAGATGGGTCAAACATCTCTCGTAAAACTGTCTCTGTCGTAACAATTCCGAATTTACGTCATCCGCCAGATAATTTTCGTTTGCTAATTTACTATGAAGGAGATTCTATAGACGATGCAAAAAAAACCAGACAAACAATTACTATATCGTCAAATTATTTCAATCTTCCACCCACACAACTGCAGTAGATACTTATGTAACACAGTCCTATCATAGATACTACAGTGGGTGACTCCTGAATTTGAATATCAACGTTACTTTAAGGGCGATTTTTTGTTTTTCCGGTGCCGTCGAGGACGAAATTTTATATATTTCAACTCGTGCGCTTAGAATGAGCTCGTCCTGAGCTAAAGCGGTCTCCTTATCCTGTTTTACTTGTTTCCTGGAAGATTTTATTTTATCTTCTATCGAGGCGTAAGACATTTTAATCTTCTCTATTTCTAAATCGGTTTCGTTCAATAATTTTTGCATCTGTGCGAATGGGTACAAAGTAAACTCCGTTAATATAAACTATTGATACCTCTATGGTGCCTATATACGGGGCTCGGTAAGTTCCCACGCGAAACATAGCAGGTAATCGGATTCATAATATTTAAGTTCCGAAACGAAAAAAATATACCCGCGCGTAAAGCCGGGTCTACACTAGGATGAACATTGTTGTCGAACATATTTGTTGATAATGTTTCCCCTTGGCCGTCTTCAGTGTGGACATGATCGACAACAAATGAATTAGTTATAAATTATAATTTCTACACAAAATGTATTTAGCTTTAAACGAATAAGTATTTGTGAATAAATAATTATGATTTAAAATGTTCATAAGAATAACTAATTATTAATCAAACATATTTTGGATTATTAATTATTATTTATGGTATTTAAAATTTTAAATATTGAATAAAGAATAAAAGATTTAAAAATCTATGTGTTTAATTTATAATTATTATTTAATAACTGCTTGGGTACTGAACATTGACCACTTACCCCATGACTATGATCCGGTACTTCAAATGCTTGGGCTAGCAGTCCTAGCCGATAGACGTGTATCTGCTAACCGTGTGTTTCTAAGCGAACTCACTAACGGCTCAATAGACTATCCTATTTCGTTAAGCCAACTCAATTTCAAAACCCTAGCTTCCTGTCCCGTACATCTAATCCCTTTTTCATACCTCTGTGCACCACCAATTATTCTCGGAATAGACCGTTGTTCAAAATGATGTGTATTTCTAATGAGGACCCGCCGATTTCTTTCTGCTAATATTATTTTTATTTTAACATTTTCTAAAGTTTATATTCTTTATTTATTTTTATTTTTTTAAATATTTCTTGTATACAGTGTGTCCCACCATGTTTTCTACGGATTTTTATAGCGCTGTTAATATTTAATTTTTTTTTTCTTTGTTTATCTTCGAGGGGGACATCGATATTTTTTTTTGTGTTTAGGGGATGAAAATAAAAATTTAATTTTTCTCCAAATCGATGCCCCCCTCGAAGATAAACCGACTGAAAAAAAAAAATCGAAAAAATTTTAATATTCACAGCGCTAAAAAAATCCGTCGACATGGTGGGACACACTGTATATGCATATAATGTTCTGTAATATCGGCCAAGGCCCGTTTTGTTTTATAAAATAAAATAAATTAACATTTATTGTTTTTATTGTTAAAATATTGCACTGAAATACTTGTAGGTGTGCTAACATGAAAATAAATAAATCTTAATAAAATAAAGAAATCTTTAAGTTGCCAATTTATAAGGCAGGAAGTCTTGTGTAAGTTGAACGAACCTTGTTGTCTAATATTTCAATGCACAGAAGCACTAGTTCGTTGAGTCAGGAAACATTTTGAACAAACATGTTCGTCTTAGTGTGGACCCGGCTTAAGTTCCGACACGAAAAAAAATACCCATATGTAAATTCCTACACGAACAGAAATAATTCGCCATAGCCATGGAAATGGAATTTCGCCGAAAGTACACAAATAAGTATTTAATATTTATGACTGAGTATTTGCCGATAATTTTCAAACTGTTCGATGTATTCAAAATAATCGAAGTTTTAAAAATTTTTCAAACAAATACAAATATCAAAATAAGAACATCAAATTGTAATAGACCTCAATAAATACGAAAAAAAGACGAAGAAAAACAAAATAATATGAATAACAAAATATCTGATAAAAAATTTAAAAAAATAATACAATATGACTATGTGAAGTGTTTAAGCATTTGCAATAAGCCACATAAAATTTAATTCAAATGACTAGATTCAATTTAAAATTGAATTATTTCTTTTTTTAGTATTATTACAACAAAACATGCTAAACACAAAACGGAACAAATTTTAACCACACCAACTTAGTTGTCAGTCCTAAGACTCAATAAAATGGAAAGGAAATTTTTTATAATTGCCATTCTTGTAGGAATTTACATGTTCTACCTAGATATATTTTATTCATGTCAGAACTTTCGTACAGGTTAATTTTTGTGATATCTAATGTGCGAACTTACATTCGCCCGCCTATACTGAGTACCATACAGAGTGTTCTATTTGAGCGGGTAAAATCATCCCGGAAAGTATGGAGTTTTTTCGGAATTTGTTTTGTGGAACATTTTAGAAACAAACAGCTCTACAATATTACATTTATGTTATTTTTTTTCACCCTTATTTTCGGCAGTAAAACCATTACCAATTTTTGATTTTCAAATGACAACCTATACTAAAAGTTTCATAAATAGATGGAATATTAATTAAAAATTGACATTTGAAAATCAAAAATTGGTAATGGTTTTACTGCCGAAAATAAGGGTGAAAAAAATAATATAAATGTAATATTGTAGAGCTGTTTGTTTCTAAAATTTTCCACAAAACAAATTCCGAAAAAACTTCATACTTTCCGAGATAACGAGATAGCCCGCTTAAATGGAATACTCTATACGTACCTTATGGCCATAAAGTCATAACTATTAATAAACGAAATGACTCGTCTGCTATATACGTGTACTATAGTAATAAATAATATTATGGAGGTACTCACTTCAGAGATGACTATGTCCAGATTCACTTGTTCGTCTTTCAACGGTTCTATGATTTTTTCTTGATCTTCCCTGGCAAACTTACTCTCTGAGATCTGCTCCTCTACATCCTTCAACGTCAACTGCTCTAAGCTCATCAAACTATCTTTCTCTTTTATTAAATTTCCGCATTTCTGCAATTCCATTTCCTTCTCCAATATATCTTCGTCTAATTCTTTATTAGAAATTATCTTTTGCTTAATGTCCTCTTGGTATTTATCGACTAAATGTTTCATGTCCTGTCTCACTTTTTCTGCCCTTGAATCATTAATTCGTTATTCATAAACTCACATCATTACTCGAAAGCAATTATTAATATCGTACTTATTAAGATTTTTTTCAAAAACTTTCATTTCGTCCTTAGCGTTTTGTGTTTTCTTAGTCCACTTTTTCAATTTAGCGGTATATTTAGTATTCAGTTCTAACACTTCTCGGTAACCTTGATTGTCGAATTCATCAATCTCTACACAAATTTGATTTTTTTCATTGATCAAATCTTCTTTGAACTATCGGTGACATTTTTATTATTAAACATTCTCCATGTATATCAGTGCTTTTTGGAAAAAAACTAGAAGGGGGACTGAGTGGATGTTGGATGAAAAAGCATTCCAGACACATTACTGTGAGGAACTCCATCCCCTCGCGTCCCCCCCCTAATTTAGTACTATGTACTATGATCAATAACATTGCGTACCTTAAGGAAATCGTCGTCTCTTTTTTTTAAGTCTTTAATCAACTGTTCGTCTAGTTCCTGAATTGTTTGTTTATGCACCAACACGTTAATATCTGCTTTTCTAAAATATAATCCGTTAATTATATGATATAATAATATTTTTAAACGTTAACATTCACTTTTTAGATTCGTCTTTTATGTCAGACATCTTCTTGTCCAGTGCATCATACGCCTTGTCCGCTCTATATATCTTATTTTCGTAATCTTCTATTAATGTGTTTAGGTCGGTGTCGTGTTCTTCCGTTCTGGTGTCAATTTCATTTTTCAATTGTGTTTCGTTGGCTTCTAACATCGCAACCATTTTCTGATAACAGTATTATTGGTTTGCGGATTAATTATCTCACGGAGTAAATTGAATCAATCAATATTATTTGTTTTTTAGACGCCAGCAGTGGTTAAAGTGAGAGGGGCAGAGGTGACAACGTTTTCCCTTTCTTAAAATTATCCAATTATCCGCCCCCTTCAGCTTAAGTCTTTGGAGTCCGGTGGGATTATTTCATTACTATCGCTGGGGTATTTTTAATATAATTTTAAAAACCCGAATTATTAGTTTTATTTAAAAATTCTTTAATAGCTATTGGATTATATAATATAATCAGACTAATTTTTTCAACTTTAACCACTGAACGCGAGACTATAGACCTAATAATAACTCACAGAAAACTATGTATTTTAATTTCTGATATATATATATATATATATATAATAAGTGATTAGATAATTTTACATAGGTATAATACATTTTAGACAATTTTAAATCAGAAAACACTTTCGACTTACTTTGTGCTCGTCTTTCAGCTGTTTTTCAGCCAATGCGTGCTGCTCGTTTAAATCCCGTAACTTCTCGTCGTATTCTTTTCCCAGTTTGTCCGTTTCTTCGTCGAACAGTTCCTTTAGTTCATCCAGCCTGTCAGTAAGTTTTTCGATAACGTCGATCTTTCGAGAGAGCCGCTTTGATGAAACAAGAATGTGCTCCAATGGCTTGACAGCCGGTTTCTCATCTTGCACGGCCCATATGCACATGCTTCCATCCACCGCACAAGTAATTAACGTTGCATCATCTGACGTCAACCCCATCTGTCGACGGTACAATATTACTATCGGTTTTAATCAGCATAAGTCAAAATCGCGAACAAAAACACCCGTGAGCAGAAGATTATCATTAGAGTCGAATTCCCCCCCCCCCCCCATCTGATTTGTTGCACTACAATAATAAACTTTTTTTTTTTTTAATTGATCTACAATAGTAATGATAGCCACAGTTTTATTACATTTTAGTTTACAGGGTATTTAAAAATTAAAACCCGGTATTCATAGTGAAACCTTGAAATTCGAGCATACAAATAATTTAGGAAGGGTTGAAAGTTAACACCCCCAAAAGACACATCCCTGATACTTACACCATGAACATACAAAATATCACCCTCCCCCCCTAGCTTCATTGAAGAGGTCTGTAAGGGTATTCAGAGCTAAAAGAATCTTCCAGCAACAACATAGTTTATGTAGTGAAATTCATATTGCAATTGAATTATGATTGTACCACTTAAATCTGCCTATAAGAAAAATACTTTATTTTCCAAGTTTAAGATCATTTAGCCTAGAGAGAGCTAAAAGTTTCCTACAGTAAACATTTTACACTCTTCAATCATTTTTGCTTTCTATTTTCTTACAGTGGCGTACCGAAATAGGTTTTTTTTGTGACAATTGACATAACTAAAATGAGTGGATAAATGGATGATAACATATGTCAAATATTGATTAAAATTGATTAGTTCAGAGATCAAAGATGCCTTTAAATGTATGTATTATTAATATAATATCTATTTACGAATATTATATAGCGTGTATTATAAAGCAAAACTAAATTAGGTTTTTACTGTAAAACAAATTATTTATAATGCATATTAAATTCCATATTTTGAGTAGGCGAGTTTTAATTTTAATTTTTGTTTTTTTCTCAGATATAAAAAATGTTCAGTATACCACTGTTTTCATATGCATCCATTCTCTATATATTATCATATATAAATAGGCTCTACGTGGAATAATTTATAGGAATTAGGAGTAAGAATAGATAGTAGGTATGTTAAAGACTGTGAGAGAGATAGATAGAGGTGTGATAATATGTGTATACAGGAGAAACTAGTAAACAGTAAGTAGACCAAAGTTAAAGCGATTAGAGTAGGACTCGGGATCAGATTAGGACTGTAATATAGGTGAAATATGAACGGTTAATATAGAGTAGATGAGATGCACGGTTATAATGAATAAGAAGACGAGACGTACAGTATGACAAGAATAAAATAGTATCTGCAGTATGCGCAGGAAAAGTAGACATTTGTTTTATGGTTGTACTGAACAGCAGCAATCAGATATGATTTGTTATATTACTTGTAGATACTACTTGTAGACTAGTTTATAAAGTTATATACACATGTTTACATAGTTAAATAAGTTTACATTTTTATTAAGAGGATGCTAAACCCGCATGCGCTGTCTCAGTTCAACTAACAGGCAATATAGCAAAACCTTTTAGTTTAGTAGGTTTAAGAGTAAAAACACATATTATACAAATTAAAATAAGATAATATTTTGGAGGGTAAGATGATGTGTTTCATTTTTTAAATTAATTTTTTGAAATATTACAGTAATTTAAAAACGATGAATTGGTTTTTATTTCTACATGATGCATTGAACGTTAGATCCGGAATAATAATTAGAATAATAGGAAAAACATATCGTTTTGCTCACCGAAATATTTCCATCTACTAATTGTATAATAGGTGATGTTACTCTAAAACCAAAATTTAGGGAGTTCTATGCAGTTTGCGTAAGGTAGATTTTGCTATATTATATTGCCCGTTAATTGGACTGAGACAACAAATGCGGGTATATCGTCATTTATCTTAATAACAATGAATTAAATAAATTCATCAAAATATATGTGATTTGTGTATAAAATATTTGTTATTTGTACATATCTATTGTGTTTGAGTTTTGATGTTTAACTTTAATGGTATTTTTTACAGTGGAGTGTTTTTATTTATTTGCTATTTTTTATTTACGTATTCTTTTGTTGAACTAAAATCTGTGTAAACAGTAAACACTTTAATATTAATACAGAATTGAAAATTCCAAAAGTTATAAACAAAATTAATAGTACTTAAAATCAGCATAGTGAATATTGAATAATATTTATATATTTCATAGAAAAAGAAATGTATTCATAATATGTTGAAGTAATTATATAGTTTTATGCACGTATATTACAGACTCTGGTATTTTATTTTGTGAAGTAGGCTTACCTTATCACTAACACGAAAAAATAATAATTTGCAAATTGCAAAACCAATGGTGCAAATTCTTGCTAGTAATAAGGAATTGATCGACACCGATTTCAACCCCCTTAAAGTAAGTGAGCGACGTGAAGTTGCACCTTCTTTATTGTATCGCCAATGCGGAAATAATGACATGTAAATTTAAAAACTAAATATTTACTGAAGATTCGTCGATTGCTGATGAGGCGTTTGGGCCAACTCTACGGCGATTCCGTACAAAGAGTAATAAACTGTTAAATCACGGTTATCTACTCGGAGTAAAAACCGTGATCCATACATAATATTGAAATGATGCTTCTCGAACGCGTAAGAATCACAAACTTAAATAGGTTATGCTATAAATACAACACGTTGCTTTTTCTCTAAATTTTTGTCGTCCACCAAGATTGTCACCCTTACAATTAAAATGAAACGTAAATAAATATTTTATCCAGTACACATTTACAAAAAAAATAAGTTAATGAAAAACTTTCATATTTAATATATTTAATTTAAATATAACAATTATACAATTTTAAATTTGTTTGGAATTTATTATTAAAATGTCGTATACCACTATATAATATTATAATATAGAAATATATAATGAAAGGAACATTAATTTCAATTTAGATTTTTAGTGTAATCTTTCAGTCCATAAACTAAATAATTATCGTATATGTATATATTCTTAGTTCTCCTACTTACTATCACTATCCTGTATATCGTTCCCCACTTAAATAAATCCTTGCATAGCGACTATATGAATATTACATAAATCATCTTTTTGGTCAACCTATGACACAACCCCCTGGATTTGAACTCCTCAAAAGGAATTGTCTAGTGCTCAACAGACTCAGAAGAAGGCACGGACATACTGGATAACTATTACATCGATGGGGCTTAAGGCCCTCTTCGCGAGACACTGCCGACACCAAATTCAATTTTCAAAACATATTATTGAAGAATGTCTTATCAGATCATTTCCAGAACTAGTTTTGAAACTGTGAATTGGCCTGTGTCAGTCCACCCCCCCGATAATAATATCTTCGTAGGACACCTTGTAATCTGTATATAACACAATTGTACAATATAATAAAAGTATACCTAATAATACAGTGCAATAATCTCCTTTTTCAAGGGAAATTCGACAAAAAAAAAATGTATTACCTCCGTCACGCTCTGGTTGTGCACGTGAAACGCTTTGAACTTGATTTTAGTCGTAATCGGTAACAAAACCGACACAATGGCGCCGTACTGGCAGGCAGCGAACATCATCTTATTCGACCGAGACTGCAGTACGCAGTTTATCGAACCGTTTTCCAGATTTTTATCATGGATCATCTGCGAAAACGTGTAAACGAAATTGTTAATTAGCGGACGCAATACAAATTTTTAATTTAGTTGGTGACCAACATAATCGGTTTTTGATTTTCTTTGTAGTTTTTTAAGTAATTGAGCTACGTAGAGATACGTAGAAAGTGCGGGAAAATTCACGAAAATAATTATTTTATTTTATTTTGTTTTTTTTTTTATTGCAATTCAGTTAAATATATTCGTGGAGACTCGACATTTTGACAGAAAACTTATGTAAACCGGATTTAACTCCGAATCGTTTTTCGTTAGCAATGGTTCGGTTACAGGTTTTTAATTTAATAACTTTATGTATCCCATTTTCCCGACTATCTACCTACAACAGTGGCTGCACCCGTCCCCAGTATCAGCTCTTTTTATTTTATTTTCTGTGTTTGTGAACAACTTTTCTAGATTTTCTGTACATCCGATGTAGCATCAATTCTGAAAGGAAATTTTATCTAGTTAGTTTTTTTTGATTTTTGTAGGGGTTTTCATAATAATTGGGAAATCCGGAAAAAGTATTATCGGAAAATTGGCAAATATATACGGTGCACCGCGGCATTACCGATTAATTTTTTAAAACTTCTGAAACTATTTTTGTACCAGACATATTACTTTAATCAAAAATACCAAGCGACGTTTTTTGTTTAATTATAAATCTAGTTCATGAAAAATAAAGTCAGTTTTTGATTTTCTCTGTAGTTACATAAATAATTGAGAGAAGCCAAAATAAACGAAAGAATTTACAAAAGTAATGCTTTTATATTTTCAATTTTTTTTTTCTATTGTATTAAATTAAAAATATTCATAGATTTAAAATTTGAAAAATTAAATTTGCCTTTTCTAAATGTAATATTTTCAAAACATTTGAGCCATTATTAAGTTATGTATAGACTTTTTAATTTATCGAATTTTCAACATAATTTTTAATCGGTTGGTACCTACTAAAATTGACAGATAAAATTGTTTGATCAACCAGAAATGTTTGAAAATTTAACATGAGGTGTACCCATTATAAGTTGTATTTAGAGGTAAAAGAAAAAAATTAAGTTAAATAATAGATTTTTTTTTTTGATGAGTTATAAGATCAAATTTTAACGAAAATCGTGAATAATATTATAGCATTTAAAAATATGTGTAACCGACTTCGCTCAAGATCGTATTTCATTAAGAATCATTTATCGTAGCTTACATAAATTAATTGAATAACGTTATGTACCCTACCTTCCCAATCTTCTCACCTGCAACAGTAGCTTTAAGTTTTGTTTTTCGTTTGTTATGTTTAATTGTTGTTGTACCGAAATCGTTAGTGTCTTTAATTTGGTGAAATAATTTCCGTTTCAAGTCTATTTAATTATGAAACTCGAGTAATAACACTACGCGAAAATACGAAAACGCATATTT